AGGGGGAGGGAGGGGCGCCGGCAGCGGAGCCGAACAGCGGGGCCTAGGGGCGCCGACGGCGAGGTCCGGGCGCGGGCTGCAGCCACGCGGCTGGTGTGTCCCCATCCGTGCCCGCAGTAGCGCTTCAGCCTCTGCGTCTAGAACGCAGGCATCATCGATCCTAGTAAGCAATTAGGGAAATTGAGGCTCAGAAGGGACTGACCATCAGAGGCCGAGGCCGAGCTGGGAGTGACCCTGGGCACTCCATCGCCCAGTCTCTTCCCTGGTGGGGGAGAGGGGTCTGGAACAGGGCAGGGGCTGCACTAGCCTTTAGGCTGCAAGGACAAGGGAAGGTGAGACTGTGGCTGGGACAAATGTGCAGGCTGAGCGGCCTTAGCCAGGAAGAAAGAATGGAACAATGCCACCCGGGAGGGAAGGGTTTAAGGTGACCTAATCTTCCTTCCTCGCCTCCAAATCGGCAAATGCCCCTTTGGGTGGGGAAGGAAAGAAGAAGACAAAGCCCCCAGACACCATAGGGTCATCCTCGGCCCCCCACCCCCAGGAAGTGAGAAAGAAGGGGAGTCCGAGGCCAAATGCTTTCCTTAGCCCTGGTGGCAAGGTGGCTCCTATCCGAAAAGCCACCAGCTGCTCAGAAAGAAAAAGACAGGGCTTTCTACTTCTCTGGTAAAGCGTTAACTCTTCTTCAAAACTCACAGGACAGTTCTATCCTGCCCTACCGGATCAGAATGAATATCTGAATGGCAGTGAGGCTGCCACTCTGGGCTTTCCCCAACAGGAGCTCCGGCTCCCTTCCTTGGGGCTTCTGTTTCTCCCAGAAGAGCTGTGCACTTGGCAGCATGGCGGGGCACTCAGCAGATGTTGGCTGAGTGGAAGGGCTTTGAAGGACCTCATTCTCACTCCGCCTCACTGAGCCAGGGCTAGAGGCCTGACCCTGCTGCTGTGTGGTCTGCTGTGTGCTGGGAGGTCTGCCCCATTACACACCACACACACTGACACATATCCCCGCCACCCCCCACCCACCCCAACAGACCAAGCATCCCCTCTTTGGGACCTTTCCTTCTGGAACATATCTGATCACAGTTCCCTTCTTAGAAGGCCCTGATGTCCAGGCATTACTCTAGTGTGGGTTAGTCATATGAAGAAATGGATGATGACATGTACTCTCCAGGTGTGTTGGGTGAACAATGAGATGAAGAAGTGAATGCGCATTTTAATGGAAGGAATGAATGCATTTCGACTCACCTCACACAGCCACTGTCCAATCCTTGTCAGATCACACTGTGTCCCTTCGCTGCTATAGGCCCAGGTGGGAGGCCCTGAAGCAGGATGTGGATGAGGTGAGCCACACAGGGCTATCAGGAGAGGAAGTCAACCTGTGGTAGCCACAGTCCTTCTACTAGGACATCCTTACGCCCTGTCCAGACTGCCCCGCCAAGGGGAGTGTGGGGCTGCGCTCTTGAAGCTGCCTCCAGAAGATGAGATTTGAGTGGCAGGATGGGAGAAGGAAGTCCCAGGCAGGATGATTAAATCCCTGTGGGGGCCGGACTCAGGCCAGGAGCCATCTGACCCTCTCCCTGGAGCCACAAAAAGAATGTCCACAAGAG